CCCCCCCACCCCACAACTTCCCCAGGACATGGCATATTTCTCTTTTCATTCACATCCCCCTTTATCACCTTTAGTAAAATTTTGAGGGGCGCCTGGGTGGCTCAGTCGTTAAGTGTCTGCCTTCGGCTCAGGTCACGATCCCAGGGTCCTGGGATCGAGCCCCGTATCGGGCCCCCTGCTCGGCGGGAAGCCTGCTTCTCCCTCTCCCACTGCCCCTGCTTGTGTTCCCTCTCTCTGTCAAATAAATAAATAAAATCTTAAAAAAAAATTCTGTTTTAAGTTGATAATATGTGATCACAATATTACTCATCTGTAATACTGAGATAAAAATTCTTCCTCATAGAATGGCCAGGAAGGCTGAATAAGTAGCATACCTCATGGCACGTTACATGCTCTACACAAAGGTTAAATATTATTTAATATTATTTATGATTATTCACATACATTTTGAACTGATTTTTATTGCTTATCCCAAGGCAACTGATACTATTCTTTTAATTTTTAATTTTTTGGATACTATTCTAAAAATGAGATTTTGTCAATTCTTTTCTAATTGGCTACCGCTCATGTATCAGAAACCTACTGATTTGTACATCTCTATCTTGTAATCAGCTGCATCACTGACCATTTTCCTATGTAAACAACAATATTGTTGCAAATAGTGAGAACCTCTGCCTGTTTATCCTACTATTTACACTTATATTTGGTCTAGAATTCTTTGCAACTAATTCCACTTTCTGATTTTAATAGGTTTTGCTAGCCCTATAGATGAAATAGGTATTTCTCTAACATATTGTGCACAAAATAAATAATTTTGAAGTTTCACTAGACTATCTTTAAAATGTCCAATGAGTGCTCTTGAAAGATGGATTTCTAAGTATATTTTCAAGATCCTGTGGGGATTAATCTATTCAAAATGTTTCCTTACTCCTGAGTCATTTACACAAACTTGTATTTTCCTAATTGTACAAAAGAGAAAAAGAACACTGATATGCGTACAGGCATTGTATGTTTATTACATAAATATGTAACACAAGATAAATTATTTTCGTTTCAGAAAACAAGCATGGGTACACGGAGTCCTTGCATGTCTGCAAATGCATTTAATTGTCATCATAGCTGAGTATCAATTTGGCTAACATAGAAATCTATATTCAAAATGTAAATCTCTCAGAACTGTGTTGATGTTTTTCCATCATGCAATGAAGATGAATATCTGTTCATCAAATATTTAGTAAGAGTCCATTCTGTGCGGCACTCTTCAAGGAACAGGAGATACAGCAGTGAACAAAGCAGACAAAAGATCCCTGCCCTGGTAGAGCTGACATTCTAGCTGTGAAGGAGGAGTGGTTAACAAATACACACGTAACTACAATATATAGTACATCAGATGCTGATTAGGTGCAAAATAAAGTAAAGCTGGGGGACATCTGGGGGGGCTCAGTCAGTAGAGCATACGACTCCTGATGTCAAGGTTTCTAAGTTTGAGCCCCACGCTGGGTGGAGAGATTACTCAAAAATAAAATCTTTAAAAAAAATAAAGCTGGGAAAGGGACAGGAAGGGGTATGTGGCTGCTGAAGGAAGAGTGGTCTGGGTCTTGAGGATTCTCTTTGCAAATGAGCAGAGGTGCCTGAGGAGAGTCAGTTCCAAGAGGTAGGCTCTGCTCTTTGGGTTTCCTTCTTCTTCTTCTGGCCTTATCTTTACTGACCTGTTAGCTAGCACTCCAATGCATTCAAATAAATTGTAATATTTTGTCCTAGTACAAAATATTTTTTTTTAAGATTTTATTTATTTATTTGACAGAGAGAGACACAGTGAGAGAGGGAACACAAGCAGGGGGAGAGGGAGAGGGAGAAACAAGCTTCCCGCAGAGCAGGGAGCCCGATGCGGGGCTCGATCCCAGGACCCTGAGACCATGACCTGAGCTGAAGGCAGACGCTTAACGACTGACTGAGCCACCCAGGCGCCCCTAGTACAAAATATTTTTGAAGTACAATTTGTTTACAATTTTTTGCAGGTATTATATATAGTAGGGGGTGGGGTGGGTGGGGAAGGTTAGGTGTATGGATCCAGACTCAGACTGACTTCAAATCCTAGTTATGCTGCTTACTAATTTTGTTACTGTAGGCAAATTATTTAATCTCTGGGTGCCTTGATTTCCTCATCTGTAAAAATGAGGATAAGAGTAACTTCTTATAGGGGCACTTGGGTGGCTCAGTCAGTTAAGCACCTGCCTTCAGTTCAGGTCATGATCCCAGAGTCCTGGGATCGAGCCCCATGTCGGGCTCCCTGCTCTGCGGGGAGCCTGCTTCTCCCTCTCCCTGCTGCTCCCCGTTTGTGCGCTCGCGCGCTCTCTCTCTCTGTCAAATAAAATCTTAAAAAAAAAAAAGTAACTTCCTCATGATATTGTCACAAAGACTAAATATTTGACATAAAGTGCTCAGACCAGTGCCTGGCGCAGTAAGTGTTAACTATATTTTTCTTACATGTATCCTTATCAGAGTTTTGTTTTTTTAGATTTTATTTATTTATTTGAGAGAGAGAGCAGAGCTAGAGATAGAGCATTTTTTTAGGGGAGGGGCAGAGGGAGAGGGAGAAGCCGACTACCTGCTGAGCAGGGAGCCCAACTCTGGGCTCAATCCCCAGAACACTGGGATCATAACCTGAGCTGAAGGCAGACGCTTAACCGAATAAGCCACCCAGGCACCCTTTTATCAGAGTTTAAATACTACTCTTCTGTCTTCTCAGAGTCTCACTTCCTCACAGGGGGTTGACTTCACTACAATCCCTTTTCCAGATCATTAAAAAATACATTAACAGCCAGGTCCAATATATATCAAAACTTAACCATGCTAAGAAGCATCCATATTCCCCAAGTCTGTTTTCTCAATGAGCTAGCATTACCTCACCCCCAATTCTCCAATTAAAATTTCAGTTTTTTAAAAAACAAACACCAAAAAAGCCCAAGTTAAAAAGTATTAAAGAGCACTCTCTTGTAACAGAATTTAAGCCGTAAGAGTGAAAATTTTAAGTAACTTTTTAAAAAAAGATTTTTCAGTAATCTCTATACCCAACATCCAACTTACAACCCCGAGATCAAGAGTCACATGTTCTACCGACTGAGCCAGCCAGGTGCCCCTGTAAGTAACTTTTAAGGATCAACAGTTTTTGATGATTATTCTCAGAAACCACCTTTTACTTGAAAGACAAACACTGTACTAGGCACTTGGTGTGGTCAGAAAGGCAAAAAATACCTTGTTTTCATACCTTATTCAGTACCATGGATTTACAATTAGAAGAAAACTGTGGTGATAAGTTATTATCTGATTTTGGCCAAAGGGAATGCTGCTAGTACTTTTACATGACATTTAATTCTCTCAATTCACCATCCCACTTTCCAGATAAGGTTACTGAGGTTCAGAAAACTTCCCAAGAGTAGGTAACTAATTAAGGGTCAGAATTTCAAACCCAAGCCAACACCTTTAAGTTCTAAAGTTTGTTATTCTTACTCACTTAACCTGGACTGCTTAAAGATTAGAGGAAATAAAAATTAGACTACCAGTCAACCTTTAGCATTTAGCCTGCCATTCCTAAGTCTGCATGTACTTGCTTTCAGATTCAAACACCTGGTGTTTGCTATATGCAAGACAACATGAAAAATCTAAAGATAAAAAAAGGCATCCTGGTCTTCAAAACGATTGCCAGAAGAACACAATGAACAGTAATGTTTCAAACAATCTGACTGTGTTACAGAACAGCAAAGCACCCAACTGAAAATGTAAGCAGTTTATCCAAATGTTCTTATTCTTGACCACAGCGAGCTTTGTTTATTGCGTTACAAAGTGAAGACCCCTTACCAATGTAGGGAGATAGAGAACAAAGGGGAGGGCAATGGTATTTTCGTAACGATCTGTCCATTGTATCAACCTTGCCAATGAGCCCAACTACTCATTTAGTGTTGAAGGCTGCAACTTTTTACTTGCTTATAAAATTCAGATCTCATAAGAAATACTTATTAAAACAACGTTTTAACTAGAAGAGAGGGCAAAACAGACGGCTTTAGGGAGAAATCAGAGCGACTAGGTGAATGGCCAGTGCAGAGCAGGAAAGGAGCGTTAGTCTACAGAGAACAAAGACTACTTTTCCTCATCTATTTCACTACTGAAGCAAAAAGAAAAGAAGACCAAGCATTTCAGGTACAAGCATCTTGCAACTTCTCTCAGTTTTTGTCCATCTTGGGGAATGTCCTGCAAACCACCCTCTACCTCCTCCTACCCCCGTTTCACTGTCTCTAGGGTTATTTTTATCCTTCTGATGAACAACACCTTGTAAAATAAAGGGGTCCAACCTTCTGGCTCTATAGCAATTATCATTTTATCTGCCGAAGTCGTAAATCTGATTCGGAAAACCTCAAGCTCCGATTCCCACAGGTTGCTCCTGCCTCCGAGCAACTTAAGCTCCTGTTACCGCTAAGTCCGACCCGGCCCCCAGCGACCGCGGCGCGCTGGACAGGGCACTCCAGCCTCACCCCATTTCACCTCGGCCCTCCCTCCCACGGTCCCTCCCCGGTTCGGGCTGTCTTCACCCCCTACACCCTCAGTAGAGGCGTCTACCGCCACCCGCAACGAAGAAAGCTCTCCCTTTGGGGGGGGGGAGGTAGGGGGAGATAAAGGTTCATTTCTGGAAGAATCTGAACATTCGGAGGGGGGGGCAGCTGCAATAAGTGGGAGGGGGAAGGGTCGGCAAAGGGGCGGGGAGCGCAGCGCATCCATCAAGATCTTTGCGCTAAGAGATCGCCAAGTCCCCTTCGGGCCTTCACTGCAGCTTAGAAATTCTCCCTCGCACCGAGGGCCGGGATGGGAGTGTGGACTCCAGGCTCCCCAGGATGAGAACGAGAGAAGGGGAGTTCACGACTGCTTGGCCCCGAGGGGGCGGGAAGCGGGCGGAACAAAGCCACTGCCGGCCAGTCGACCCAGAGGGATCCGGGAGGCCCGCTTACCTGCCGTCAGTAGCTGCATGGCGTGAGTGAAGGACGGGTCGAGCGAGTCCTTCTCGGCCATGAGTTCGGGCAGGTACTTGTTCTCCGGCTCCATCTTGACGGAGGCAGTGGCTGAGGGGGGCAGCAGCGGGGTCGGTGCTGGACCGCCCACTGTCGCGTCGGGACCCGTGGCCGAGGGCGGCAGCAGCGGTGGTGGCTGCGTGGCGGGCGAGGCCCGAGCGCCTCCCCGGGATCCCCCTCCGCCTCCCCGGGACCTGTGAGGCAGCGGTGGCTGCCGAGACGGCGCCTGACGCACTGAGGGGTGGGCACCGGAGGGGTCCATGGAGCCGCTGCGGCCCGAGGACCGGCTCATGCGCGCGGCGGGGTCGTCCCGGCGCTGCATTGGGGCGGATGTGCGATCGAGGGATCGAGGAAGCGACGCGGCAGCGGCAGAGGCCCGAGCGGCCGTTGGCGGGGGTGGGAGAGCGGGAGCGACAGCGACCGAAGCCGACCCGAGCGACCCAGCGAAAGAGAGCACCGGAAATGAGGCGGCGCGCGTGCGCAACCAGCCACCGGCACCGCCCTTGGGTCTCTCCGCGGAGAACAAAGTCTCCAGTCGGGCCACGGCGCCTGCGCACCGCCGCGGAGCCCGAAGAAGTCGCCTCCCTGCTCCCCTTTTCCCTCCGAGCCCGCCAGGCCAGAGTCTTGTGCGCGTGCGCGAGTGGCCGCGGGCTTCGTTCGTTTTCTTTTCCACGTGACTCGGCGCTAGCGGGACACGTGTCTCCTCCCCCTCTGGCCGAGTGCGCGGAGGGGCGGGGGCTGTGGAATGTCTTTGTCTGCGCGCGAGCCCGCGGAGTGTGGGGCGGGAGACCTGTTACTCGCGGGGCCACGCCCCCACCAACGGCTAAGACGGGGAGGGGGGCTGTGCTCTGTGGGGTTCGGGGTGAGAGTGAAGTGGGGTCACTGAAGTGTGGAAATGAACGGAAACCAGAGTGAGGGTCACGGGAGGGCGGTCTGGGCAGGAAGAGAGGAGAGAGACTGCCTGAACAGGGAAGGGGAAGAGACAGAGCACCGGGGAAACTAGGGGTGAAGGAGGGACGACTAAGGGAGGTCTGACTCAGGGATGAGGGGTGGAGATGGGGAAGGGAAGCTTGGAGGGAGAAATTGAGGAAGGACGGGTCAGTGGGAAGACTGAAGGCTATTGGAGGACTTGAACTAAGAGGGAAGGTTTAGATTGGAGACCGGCAATCTAGCGAGGAAAAGGGCACCCGACCGAAGAAGGGAACCCCAGAAGTCCTATCCCATGGTTTCCAATATAGTAGGTTCTAAAAGTTTAGCCATTGTTGGTCTGAGAAGTCGTCTTGAAAGATGAAGCCTTTTAGCTCTTCACATATAGCGCTTTCTGCTGACTTAAGTTTGTTTATTGCGCAAAGAAGTGAGGAAGAGGCCAGGTCCTTAATCCGTGATGGTTGTATCACTAGGATGGCTCCTTCTACTGATATGAGTGTTAATCCCCCTGCCTCTGTCCAACCCTTCACAATGGATCATTCCAGACTTGCTCAAAGAGACCCCCCCTTAACACTGCTTTCAAGGCCAAGGTATATAGTGGTCAGTCTCCCACAGTAGTCTCCTCCTCCCGGGGTGCTATATGCAAATGAGCCTAGGTCTCTACTCCCATGAACTCTCAGAAACCTGGTGCTTTCTCTAACCTTTCCTTCCACAGATTTGTGTTTCCCCATTCAAAGCACTCCCATTCCTTTTCCTTTGGGATCAGTTTCCCTACTAAGCCCACGCTTTTCAAAACCATTTCTGGACATTGTCTCCTGTGTGGCTAGAAACTGTTGATTTTTGAATCTGAAACTTAGAAGCCTTCAAACTAGGGAACATTTAAGGCCTGGCTATCTTCTTGGGGGTGGGGGAAAGGAAATTACCCACAGAAATGAGAATAAACACAAATATCTCCATAAACTATCACATATAATATATATATATATCTCCACTGTTAGTACTTGACTTTGAAGTCACATAGGTAGTTTATATATATATATATAAATGTTTTTGAGTAATTATAACGAAGAATGTAATGTGACCAGTGCCAAAAGATAGGTGACTATTAAGTGCAGTTAGAGTTCAAGGCAGGAGATAGATTTGGGCCAGGGGAGAATGAGTTCCAGGTAAAGGGAAGTGTGAATAAATGAGCATTTGAGATGAGAATGTCAGAGATGCATTTAAGGAATGGGAATAATCCAGTTGCAGAGTGTGAAGAAATAGGTGGGTTGAGAGAGCAAATGCATGGAGGAGGGGAAAGAGGGGGCAAGGTGGATTTATAGCTCTCTTGCAACTCATTTCAGCTGCTGTCCTTGAAAATCCTGTTTGGGTAGGAGTGGTATTACAAATGGCTGAAGTGTCCTTGCTCTGTAATGAGATGCCCAGATGGAGGTACCTTGAGCTGAGGCTAATAAAACTTTGATAAAGTGTCTGAGAAGGAGCTGGGTAGTGGTATCTGTGGGTTTCTAGACTAGAATCACCAGTCTTTCCAGATGGCTGCCAAACCTTTACTTACTTGAAAAGGGTGGGGTTGATGGGAGATTCGAGCTCTTCTTCCTGATGAGACACACAAAAGGTAATCTCTGACTGAGGCAACGGGTTGTGACGCTGCGGTGAACTTACCAAGTAAGTGATGCAGCAGCCTTCCATTGGGGTGGAGGTGGGCCTGGCCCTGGGAGTTCCCTGGGTGTTAGAAAAGTAATTCCTGTCCTGAAAGCTCAGAGGTCTGGAGCTCATTTTATGTTGACCACGGTATCACATGGTGCTCCAGGTTCACCTGAAGGTATTAACAATATATAGCCTTGTGAAAGGACTGACTTTGGAGTGAGGCAGACAGATTCAAACCCAGCAATGCCTTGTCCTTGCTGTATGTCATTAGCAAAAGCACAACCTGTCTGAGCCTTAGTTTCCTCCTTTATAAAGTGGAGGTAATGACATCTACGTTTCAGAACTGGTGTGAACAAATACCAGTGTAAACCTCCTGACAGTAGAACTTATAAGCAAAAGGAAAATTACTATCATGCCATCTGGTGCTCAATGAAGAGTTCGGGATACTTCATCTTGCTTGTGGATCTGAAAGGCCTGCTCTCTAATCTGTCTCATTTTCACTGACTACAGACTTTGTTTTGAAGGGGGAGTTTCCAAAACACAAGTAACTTTTACCCTGTTTCCTCCCATAATCCAGTTACTATGGTGAAGGTTGTAGGAACAATTGGGAGCATAGTGATTTAGATAGAGTTGGGCTCTTCTTACCTGCTGGATGCTTGAGCACATTACTTACCCTTACTCAGCCTCTCCTTCCTCCTCTTTGATAAAATCAGGAGTCGAAACAATACCTACCTCTAGGCTGTGAGGATTAAAGCACTCAGCACCAGGCTGGCAATTAGTAGGTGCTTGAGAGGCGATGGTGACCATTGTTATTATTACTACACACATTTTTGAGTACCCTATTGCAGACTTTCACTTTCGTGTGAGTCCCTAACGGATGGATTGGGAAAGATGGAAGTTTGCCTGTCGCTGCCTAACCTGTGTGACCTCTACCACTGGGGGATCCACAAGCCTTGTCTACCTCTGCTGCTTTGCAGCCAGGTCCTGGGAGGAGGGCTCCAGCTTTGAACAGGAGAGTTTCTCTTCCAAGAGTGTAATTCGTCTGTTCAGTCTTAGACACCTACTTGGTGCCAAATATATGGAGGGTGGAGAAGGAGAAAGGGAGACCAAGATTCAGTGTTTTAAATTATTTTCTGAGATTTTTTTTTTACTCTAAAAATATATCTTTTGGGGCTCCTGGTTGACTCAGTAGGGCATGTGACTCTTGATCTCGGGGTTGTGAGTTCAAGCCCCACCACATTGGACGTAGAGGTTACTTAAAAATAAAACCACATGTGTATATATATGTGTGTGTGTGTGTGTGTGTATATATATATATATATATATATTTCTAGTTTTAAGAAAAATCCAACCATAAGATAGGCATAAAATGAAATTCCCCCCAAAACTTGCCCATGCACTAGACTGCGCCTCTCCAAAGCATTACCCAGTGGTTGCTTGTGTAGCTTTCCAGACATTTTAATACATGTATATGCAAAACTATCTTTTTTGTTTTAAACACAAATTGCAGCATTCTATACAAACAGTTTGGCACTTGTTTTTAAATGAAATATTCTGGTCATTTTTCCTTCTCAGGAAATCTATTTCATTTTCTCATGGCTGCCTAGCATTCCATCAGCTACCTCTTAACCAGTTCACTTCTGATAGAAATGTAGGTCTGGTGCCATATTTGGAAATGTGTAAGGGTCATTTTACCTTTTCAGTATGGCAAATCATAATGCAATGAGCATCACTGAACGTTTTTGTGCACTAGTATCCATATATCTATAGGTTAATTCTAGGAATGATACAAGAAGACTGTGACATACAGCAGGGGAGACAACTGTCTCTTCTCCCTTCTCCACAATCAATTCTGGGTGCCATCCTCTCATAATTTTAATCTTTGCCAGTGTAATAGATGAAAATGGGCATGAGACTGAACACTGAATAAGAGTCCATGCCCTCAAGGAGCTCTTGGCTTGGTGAAGGAGACAAATATACAACCAAGAGTTACCATGTAGACTGAAAAGTGCTATAGCAGAGGACTACAAAGAGCTGCAGGAATGCGCAGGAAAGAGTGACTGACCAACCAGGGACATGAATTAAGGATGTTGGATCTTTGGGAAGTTGCCAGGTGGAGTCGGGGCAAGGCATTTAAATGTTGGTTGTTCAAAATGAATGAATGAATGAATGTTGGTTGTTAGGCGGAGCTTGGTCCCTGGGCCTGTTCTCCATTTTCCATGTTCATGATTCTGGAATGTAGACCTCTAGCCCAAACTTCCGAGTTCCAAATCTAGATAGCCAATTGCACCCCTGTTACATCCCTGTCTGGCTGTGTAACTCCATGTGTCCACAATACAATTCAAACTTCTGCCCCTAGCGGTGCTGCTTCGGGGCCCAGATGACTTAACATAGCTCAGGGCTTAGGAGAAGCTCCTTTTCCAGGACCCAGGCCTTCTCCAGCACCTCAAGCAAAATTTAAGGGCCAGCAAAATTTAAGGAGGCATTCCCTCTCAAGGCCATGTTCCTTGCTTGCCTCACTCTAGTCCCAGGGTGCTCTTAGGATTCCCACAGAAGGTGCCTTTTGTAGCGACAGGGGGGATCAGAGCAATGTTGGTGTGCCCTGGGACTTAACCCATTGCTTTGTCTGACAGCCACTTGTGAAAAGTCCCTGGAAGTGTCCCAAAAATATTTAAAGGGGACTTTTCAGGGCCAACAACAGGAACTCAGGATGATGATTAGTGTTCATGTGGTTTTGTTTGAGTCCGTAGGCTTCTGAGGCCTACATGATACTTGGGTTATAATCATCTTTTTTTTCTGCCTGTCTCCCCCAACCAGAAGGTGAGCAGCTTATGGGCAGGAAACATTTCTATCTTTGTATATACAGACGGAGGCTGGAACAGAGCAGGCATTCGATAAATGTATGCTGACCAAGTAAATATCTGCAAAATAATTAAACTCCCATTCCGTTGCCTTCACCACCAACCTGCTCCTCCTCCAGTGTCCCCTGTCTTAGGGAACAGCTCCCCTAACTCACTGCACAGCTGGAAATCTGGGAGTCAT